TGAAGCAACCTGACTGTGTGTTTATTTATTGGTTTTTAAGGCTTTAAATGTGGATGTTTTGGAGCATCGAATTGGTGGGGATAGCACCAGGACTTTGTCCCCTGAACCTTTTTTTTTAAGCACAAACATGATCTTTTCCTGACCATAATTAAGAGGATTCTGTGCCTACACCTAACCACATGTTAATCAAGACACTGATAAAACATTAAGTTGACTCTGCACCTTTATCCCATCGTCCCCCCGTCTCAGCTTCCCTGGTTCTGTTGCACCCTCCTCCCTTCAGCCAACACCGGACTGACATCAGATTCCACCCTCCACCTTCTTCCTTCCTTCCATCACTCCATCCCACGGCCCTCCTCCCTCCCTAAACAAATATAAAGATGGTATTGGCGGATTATTTTAGAGGCAGAGAAGCTGCATTGAGTCAAATTTCACAATTTTTGATGATATCCAACAAGTTGTAAGTTGTAGCAGGTCTGCAAAGTGCATCATGCAGTATAAAGAATTTACTTCATTTTGTAAGTAATAAAGTACATCTCTGTTGATAGTAACTTCAGACATGATACACTGTATAAGTGGCACTTGGCTGAGCTGCTGGGAATTCCCCACCCTGATGAAAGCTTCCAAAACCAAACACGAGCCAGACGACACACAAGTTCAATTACAAAGAGTTTAATCCCAAAAATACTTTACTTTTTTTACTCCTCCATTTTGGCATGTAACACATTGTTTGGTCTTGCTGTATCTTGGCTGTAACACTACACTGTATAATTTACATTGTCTGAAGTTGTGGCTGTCATGCAATGTTGAACACAGCTCGACTGATTACTGCAGGGGAAAGGATGCCACGTTCACGTCCGACTGATGTCTGTTTGGACTGCGGAAAAAAACATTCACGTCTGCCCGCTTGTGGTTATTATATATGTGATATATGGGCATTATATATGGGCATTATTGTAGCATTCCAAGATAGTGAATGATCAAATTCAACTTAAAACACAATCAACCGTACTTGAAGAAAACAAAGACAAACATGCTGCAGTTTATCATTTAAAATCCGTTACGTGTGGACGCTGAGCTGCAGCAACAAAACCCTGTTCCTTGACGTGAACGCGGCATTAGACAACAGTCCATGTGAGACATTCAACAGTCCTGTCAGTTAAGACAAAATGCTATATTCTGTGGCTTCTTACGCACTATTCTGCAAGCTGTCAATCACGTGGGTGGAACGTTTCCCCCCACACACACACACAATCAATCAACCAAAGGGAAACTTGATGATTAAATATCATTCAGTAAGAGCAAAAGTCATTTTGAGGAGCAGCAGAACAGGTTCCAGCCCGTTGGTTTGTTTCATCGTTACAGGAAGACACTTCGCTCCTCGTCACTGCCAGCAGGTCGACACTACGTGGGATGCACTCAGGACTCTTTCTCAACAACTCCGAAGAACAGATAATAACAAAACTAGGAATTATTTGGGATTGAAGTGAAACAGAAGCTGATTTTGTCTCCAGTTCTTGGACCCAAAATCATGACGATGTGTAGTGTTTTGGCGTGAGCTGCCGGGGAAAAACACTCATGGAACTTTGACGCTAGTTTGGAGAACTTCTGATGAGATGTAACTACAAAATGGCACAAAGACTTATATAAAACAACCATGAGAAGAAAGACAATCTGATCATGACGCTCCGATGGGAATGTAGCAAATACCGGCAACTCATTACGCAACTAGTCGTTACTGCTCTTGGAAGAAACGTGGCGACGCTGCGCCCAGGTTGAAAACAGAGCGCTACATGTGCTTTTAAAGCTTGTTGTAGATCAGAAGTGAACAGTCAGACGACACAACATCAGACCTCCAATATGGCTTGCAGGGGGAGATGTGACAGGAGGTTTCTCTGGGCAAGACACTGTCTCAAAGTGCAAAGTAAGCAAAGGGTCAACGGGTGAATTTCATCATCTTAAATCTTAATCTTCTTTTTCAAATGTATAGTTTCGATCTATAGTGTTGGTGCCAAACATATTTACATCAAATGCAACATAAAATAATTTCAAAATGTAGCTTATCATTGTCTCAACCTGTCAGCAACGAACATGGAGCCCTTTTTATCAACCATGAACCCTCAGCTTTTCAAGTTTGATTCTGAAAACATATTCCTATAACGTCAAGACTTCAGTGACCTGATTGACACCTGACTATTTAAACCCTCCAGAATAAAGTGTTGGCATTGTACGATTCTGCAAAGCATGCATACGTCACATTTGGTGGTGGATGGAGTAACACTTACGCAAGACACCTGCCAAGCTGCAGACCACCGTTCAAGACGAGCAAACAACAAAACCGGTTGTGTTTAAGCGAGTCATAGCTCGGGCTTCCAGCTGGTTTTTAGCCATCAAATGTGGGCGTTTGGTTAAGCAACCTGCAGCTGTGTCTCCACCGAGGAAAAGCAGTTGATTTTTACCAAGACATCGCTGTGTTTCAGCCGGGATAGAGCCCTAATGAGTGGCTGTTTTTTTACAAAGATATCGATACATTTCTTGGCGGAGATAGTGCCCCAAAAAGTGGCTGATTTTTAAAGAAATATTGCTGCATTTCCTGTCAGGGAAAGTGCTTCGAAAAGTGTTTGTTTTTTACTGAGATATCGCTGCATTTCCTGCTGTGATTGTGCCATGAAAAGCGGTAGTTTTTAAAGTCACGATGCTTTGTTTCCACCGCATATACTGCCCTGAAAAGCATTTTTTTTTACTAAGACACTGCTACATTTCCAACTGGGAAAGTTGATTTTTAAGGAAACATTGCTGCATTTCCTGCTGTTATGGTGTCCCAAAAAGTGGTTGATTTTTTACTGAGATATTACTGCATTTCCTGCTGGAGTTAGTGCCATGAAAAGTGCTTGTTTTTGCCAAAATATCGCTGCATTTCCTGCAGCGATATATTGGCTTGAAATGTGGTTGATTTTTACCAGTACACTGCTGCATTTCCAGCCAGGATAGCGTCACAAAAAGCAGTTCATTTTGAGGGAAACATTGCAGCATTTCCTTCTGTGATAATGCCCCCAGAAATCCATTGTTTTTTTTTTTGTTTTTTTTTATCAAGACATTGCTCTATTTCAGGCAGGAAAGTGTCACAAAAAGCAGTTGTTTGTTTACAGACACATTGCTACATTTCCAACCAGGATTGCGCCCCAAAAAGCGGTTGTTTTTTTCCTGGGATATCACTGCATTTCCTGCTGGGATAATGCCCCAAAAGCTGTTGTTTTTTTACCAGGATATCGCTGTATTTCAGCCGGGATAGTGCCCCAAAAAGTGGCTGTTTTTACCGACATATCGATGCATTTCTTGCCGGACATAGTGCTTTGAAAAATGGTTCTTTTTTATGGCGACATGACTGCATTTCAAGCCGGGATAGTGCCTCGAAAAGAGGATGATTTTTGCCAAGATATTGCTGCATTTCCTGCCAGGATAGCGTCATGAAAAGCAGTTGTTTTTTTACAGACACTGCTACATTTCTAGCCAGGACAGTGCCCCAAAAATCAGTTAATTTTGAGGGAAACATTGCTGCATTTCCTTCTGTGATAATTTTTTTTTTTTTTTTTGCCAAGACGTTGCTGTATTTCAGCCGGGATAGTGCCCCAAAAAGTGGCTGTTTTTACCGTCATATTGATGCATTTCTTGCAGGAGATAGTGCTTTGAAAAATGGTTCATTTTTACCGCGACGTGGCTGCATTTCAAGCCGGGACAGTGCCCCAAAAAGCGGTTGTTTTTTACTGGGATATCACTGCATTTCCTGCCGAGATAGTGCCACGAAAAGTGCTTGCTTTTTACCGAAACATCACTGCATTTCTAGCCAGGACAGTGCCCCAGAAATCAGTTAATTTTGAGGGAAACATTGCTGCATTTCCTTCTGTGATAAATTTTTTTTTTTTTTGCCAAGACGTCGCTGTATTTCAGCCGGGATAGTGCCCCAAAAAGTGGCTGTTTTTCACCATCATATCGATGCATTTCTTGCCGGAGATAGTGCTTTGAAAAGTGATTCTTTTTTACCGCGACATGGCTGCATTTCAAGTCGGGATAGTGCCTTGAATAGAGGTTGATTTTTGCCAAAATATTGCTGCATTTCCTGCCAGAGATAGTGCTTTGAAATGTGGTTGTTTTTTTTTACCAAGACACAGCTACATTTCCAACCAGGATAGCGCCCCAGAAAGCGGTTGTTTTTTTTCCTGGGATATCACTGCATTTCCTGCCAGGATAGTGCCACGCAAAGCAGTTAGTTTTGAAGGAAACATTGCTGAATTTGCTTCTGTGATAATGCCCCAAAAGCTGTTGTTTTTTTACCAGGACGTCGCTGTATTTCAGCCGGGATAGTGCCCCAAAAAGTGGCTGTTTTTACCATCATATCAATGCATTTCTTGCAGGAGATAGTGCTTTGAAAAATGGTTCATTTTTACTGCGACGTGGCTGCATTTCCAACCAGGATAGCGCCCCAAAAAGCGGTTGTTTTTTACTGGGATATCACTGCATTTCCTGCCGAGATAGTGCCAAGAAAAGTACTTGCTTTTTACCGAAACATCGCTGCATTTCCTTCTGTGATAAACATTTTTTTTTGCCAAGACATCGCTGTATTTCAGCCGGGATAGAGCCCCAAAAATTGGCTGTCTGTTACCAAGATGTCGATGCATTTCTTGCGGGAGATAGTGCTTTGAAAAGTGGTTCGTTTTTACTGCGACGCGGCTGCATTTCCGGCCAGGATTGTGGCCCCTAAACTGGGTATTTTGAGCCAGACATTATCTTTTCTCACCAAGGGTTTTTTGGTCCCACACTTTAACACAGCGCTGCTGACACGTAATAAAACAAACTTTCAACATATTCGCTTGCAAAAAAGCACAATGCCAGCATGTTTTCTGGTGATTTTCATCCCAAACAATCACCTTCAGTGGGGTGTAAGTAACGACACAATGCGGGGGGGGGGGGGGGGGGGGGGGGGGGGGGGGGGGGGGGGGGGGGGGATGGAAGAGACAGAGAGGGAATCATCTTTGGTGTGACACCACCTCACAGCATCAGTGCATCCCTAACCACATTTACAACAGTCTCACATCTGTGCTCGGCACCGACGCGGCAGCAACAGGGCGCTCTGCCAGTGGATCCATACACTCCATATAAATGTAGACGTCCCTGATGACACTGTCCTATTAATAATGCTACATCAGGGACTTTAACCTGCCTGTAAAGAGGGTTTAAACTGTCGATAGATGTTCACAGGAATGTGAGATTCTTATGATTATTTTGTGACTTTGTGTCATAGCTGTTCTGCTTCATTATGTCCCTCTGTAACATTCACATACAATCACACAGACCCTAATGAGTTCAGAGTGACATTGTTTAGCTTATAGCATCACTATAAATATATTCCCGTCATATATGAGACTTGCAGTGTGTCAGTGGGGATCAATAATCATATCTATGCGTCATGGTTTGTTTCTATCTGCTCCTAATATTTCCATCACTGCCTCTTCTTCTTCTGCTTCAGTGACTTCCTCCTCTTCACTATCATCTCATACAGCTTGTCCATGCCCTCATCCAGCCCCTCTCCGATGATGGCGCAGGCCGGCTGGACGTGGTACGGGGTGGAGGGGCTGAGCTCAGCCAGAGCCAGCTGCCTCTCTATCTCCCCGACATCCAGCGCCCGGGGCAGGTCCTGCTTGTTGGCGATGACGAGCAGCGGGGTCCCCTGGTTCTCCGCGAACCGGGTGATCTTGTGCAGCTCGGTCCGGGCCTCCTCCAGCCTCTCGGCGTCCACGGAGTCCACCACGTACACGATGCCGTCCGTGCAGCGGCTGTAGGGCTTCCACAGGGGCCGCAGCTTCTCCTGGCCCCCGACGTCCCAGAAGTGGCAGCTGATGCCCCTGGAGGCCCCCGCGCCGCCCAGCCGGATCCTCTCCGTGTTGAAGCCGATGGTGGGCACCGTGTTGACGAACTCGTTGAATTTCAGCCGGTACAGCACGGTGGTTTTACCCGCAGAGTCCAAGCCGAGCATGACTATGTGCAGGGACTGGAAGGCACCCAAATTGGAGAAACTGTTCCCCATGTTGCAGCCTGGGGAGGAGGGACAGTGCGCGCTCCCACAGCCCCGTTATCACCGCAGGAGATGCTTAAATGTCCCAGGAGTGATCCATAGCGGGGGATGCAGATCAGAAGGTCGGCAAACGCGCACACACGCCCGCTCCCGCGCCTCAGCAAATGTGGAGGGCGCAGCCCCTCGTTGCGCGGCGGCACTCCGGCAGCCAGACAAGCCGCAGCATCCCTGGACTCACTCCAACAGTCAAATCATCACGCAAACAGCGGCGCATTCACCGCGCGCACCGCTATCCAAATGCGCAAATTACGCGCGGCCAAATGTCACATCGTGTCTCCGCATCTGTCCCCCAAGTGCGTAGTCTTCATGTAGTAACACAAGTGATGGTGTGTGACGCGTGGACCAGCCTCTAAATGTTGCCATGAAAAGATGCGTCAAGCTCAAGCAGAACAACACAAAATAAGACTTCCGGTGAAGCAGTGGCGCCTACAAAATAAAAGCCTCTCCTGCTCTGATCCTGTGAAAAGCTGCAGTGAGGTCGGAGACGGTTTTATCCTGAGCAGTGTTCGCTCATGTGCTGGCTCTAGTGTTTCCTCTGCGCACCGAGCTGCTGAGACTCCTCTGCTGACACCTGGTGGTGAAGTGAGGCAACGACGCTCTTCACACAGCAGCTGAAGGAAACATGACAGCGGGTCTGTGACAGAGACCTTAGAACATGACCTGCTTGTGATAAACGGAGGGAGTGACAGGAGCTTTTACCTTGGTGAGGAGGTGTGCTTGACCCTGTGATTGGTTGTCCTTTGGGGGACATTAAACAGACCCAAACCAACCCCATAACACACCATGAAAACAATCCAGTCTGAGGGGTTTCTAAGCACCTCCCTCCGCACCAGGTGCTCCTCCTCGCTGAGCAGTGCACCTCGTCAGTGAACGCAGCACACCTGGGCGCAGCTCCAGGAGAGGGAAAGGGAGCACATGAGAGAAACCCTCCAAACACACCAACAACATCTGACAACAGTTTGGCCTCAAATTAACTTAAAGGAAATCATAACGTGCAAAAGATAAGTGATGTCTTCATGCAGCAGCTGAAGCATCCGCAGCCAGCAGCCTGGTCATTTAAAGTTACCGCCACTAGATGGCAGCAAAGTATCGCATGACAGAAGGAGCTCCGCTGCAGCCACAGGAAACTGAACACTGTCTCTGCGTCATGATTTACAGTTTCAACATGTGAACAGTGATGCAGATGGTGCCGTGTGCACAGACACAGTTCTTGCATTCACAAATTCTCTTAACATGTTGAAACTGTAAATTAAAATGCAGAGACAGTGTTTAGTTTCCTGTGACTGCACAGGAGCTCATTCTGTTATGGGATGTTTTGCTGCCATCTAGTGGCAGTAACTTTAAATGGCCATGCCGACCATGTCCAAAAAACATTAATAAAATTACTGAAAAAATATTAGTTAAATAACCAACATAAATATTAATAAAATTTCCAAAGTAATTTTAATAAAGGTCTGACAATTATGAAATAATTAATAATTAATTAAATATTAATAAGATGTCCAAAAAATATTAATAAAATATCTGACAAATGTGAATAAAATGTCCAATAAATATGAATAAAATGTCTGGGGAAGAAAATGATAAAACGCCCGGAAAAATGTTAACATAATGTCTAAAAAAAATAATAAAATGTCCAAAAAATATTGATAAAATGCCCCAAAAATTATCAATAAAATGTCCCAAAAAATAATAAAATGTCCGACGAAATATTAATAAAAATATTTAGAAAATGTCTGAAAATAAATGACAAAATGTCCAAAAAATATCAATAAAATGTCCCAAAAAATAATAAAATGTCCTTAAAATTAAAATAAAAAGTCTGACAATTATAAATGAAATGTCCTCAAAAATATTGATAAAATGTCCCAAAAAATATTAATAAAATGTCCAAAGAAATAATAAGAAAATGTCTGAAAAAATTAATAAAATGTCCTAAAAAATTAATAAAAAGTCTGACAATTATAAATGAAATGTCCCAAAAAATTAATAAATTGTCTGAAAAATATTAATAAGATATCCAAAAAATATTAATAAAATATCTGACAAATGTGAATAAAATGTCTGAAAAAATATTGATCAAAAGTCCAAAAAATGCCAATAAAATGTCTGACAAATGTGAATAAAATGTCCCAAAATATTAATAAAATGTCTAGGGAAAAAAATGATAAAACGCCCGGAAAAATGTTAACATAATGTGTGAAAAAATTAATAAAATGTTCCAAAAAATATGAATAAAATGTCCAAAAAAAATGTCAATAAAATGTCTGACAAATGTGAATAAAATGTCCAAAATATATTGATAAAATGCCCCAAAAATTATCAATAAAATGTCCCAAAAAATAATAAAATGTCCGATGAAATATTAATAAAATGTCCCAAAAATATTAATAAAATGCCTGAAAAAAAAAAAAAAAATGTCCTTAAAATTAAAATAAAAATTCTGACAATTATAAATGAAATGTCCCCAAAAATATTGATAAAATGTCCAAAAAAGAATTAATAAAATGTCCAAAGAAATAATAAGAAAATGTCTGAAAATAAATGATAAAATGTCCAAAAAAATATCAATAAAATGTCTCAAAAAATAATAAAATGTCTGACAAAATATTAATAAAATATCCAAAAAATATTAATAAAATGCCTGAAAAAAATTAATAAAATGTCCTTAAAATTAAAATAAAAAGTCTGACAATTATAAATGAAATGTCCCCAAAAATATTGATAAAATGTCCCGAAAAATATTAATAAAATGTCCAAAGAAATAATAAGAAAATGTCTGAAAAAATTTATAAAATGTCCTAAAAAATTAATAAAAAGACTGACAATTATAAATGAAATGTCCCAAAAAAATATCAATAAAATGTCTGACAAATGTGAATAAAATGTCCAAAAAATATTAACATTATGTCCGATAAAGTAATTAATAAATTATCCATAAGTAAGTAATATTAATAAAATGTCCAAATAAATGTTATTAAAATGTCTAAAAAATACAAATAAATGACAAAAAAAAAAATTAATAAATTATGTGACCATGATATTGATAAAATGACCGAAATATATTGTTTTTCTATACTGCCCAAAAAAATCAAGAAAATGTATGAAAAATATTGATCAAATGTCCAAAAAAAATTACTAAAATGTCCAAAAAATATTAATAAAATATATGACAAATTTGAATAAAATGTAAAAAAAGAAAAAGAAGAAGCTGTCCAAAAAATATTATTAAAATATCTGAAAATATGAATAAAATGTCTGAAGAAATCTTAATAAAATGTCCCAAAAAATATTAATAAAATGTCTAAAAAAATACAAATAAATGACGAAAAAATAAAAAATAAATTGTGTGACCATGATATTGATAAAACGTCCGTAATATATTGCTTATATACCGCCAAAAAAATCAATAAAATGTGTGAAAAATATTGATCAAATGTCCAAAAAAAATATTACGAGAGTGTCCAAAAAATATTATTAAAATGTCAGAAAAAAATATGAATAAAATGTCCAAAAAAATATTTATAAAATGTCCAAAAAATATTAATAAGATGTCCAATAGAGTAATTAATAAATTATCCGAAGTAATATTAATAAAAAGTCCGAAAAATATTAATAAAATGTCTAAAAAATATGAATAAATGTCTTATAAAATTATTAATAAAATGTGCGACCATATTGATTGAAATGTCCGAAACATATTGCTCATATACTCCCTCCCCAAAAAATCAATAAAATGTCCAAAAACATATTAATAAAATCTCTGAGACATTATTGATAAAATGTCAGAAAAAATATAAATACATTGATATGGTTTTACTGTAGGTAAACGTGGACCCCTATGACTTCAATTCATCAAGATTTCTTTCCGGTTTTAAAGTCTTTGTTCACCATGGAGGCGTGGAAGAAAAATACAGTTTATTTTCATGAATTCACTATAACATGAGGTGAGTAACTGATACACAGAATATCATCTGGGGGTTGAAGTGTTCCTTTAATGTTTCTCATTAATGCTGCGCTTTGTGTTTGAGGTTTTGTTTTCAAATGTTGGCAGAGGGAGTGCAGTATTTTCTCATTTGGATCCAGCCATAATGAGCCATGTTTTCTGCTGTGTAATTTTTTATATTTAGTTTACTTTCATCAGTTCAGTTTGCCATTAGCGCCATGCTCCACTTTGTGTGTCAAATTAAAACAAACTGGAGATGATGCCCAGCTGGCGTTCACTTAGCTCTGTGTCTGTGTCCCAAAATGTAATGGATATGTTTTTGTTTTCTGCTGTGTTCTTAGAGCTGTTTTATTCTTATCCACAATTAATTTTTCTCCAGCTGTGAGCTGCTCCTCTGTTTTATTTTATGCACTGCATTGTGGGACGGCGTGTTCGAAATCAAAGCTTTTTTGGATTACAAACTGACATCCTTGAGTCTACTACTTTATTTTGTATGCATTTGGGACACTGCTTCAGACACAGCACAGAGCGGGCGAACGCCAGCTGGGCATCATTTCCAGTTTGTTTAAATTTGACACACAAAGCGGAACATGGCTCTGATGCCAAACTGAACTAATGCAAGTAAACTAAATATAAGAAAATACACACCACCAGAAAACATGGTTCATTATGGCTGGATCCGAATGGGAAAATATGTGCTGCACTCCCTCTGCCAACATTTGAAAACTGTAAAAGAAAATAAGGTTCAGCTGTGTTTAAGGCTGCACACACAGACAGTGGTTCAACATGTTTATCATATAGCTGTTTCTGTCTGCTTTGCATTTCAGCAGGTTTCACTGTCTGTGCAGCTTCTCACCACAGCTTTGTGCAGCCACACTGCCCGCATGAGCATTTCTGTGTCGTGGAATCTCTTGTTTGTTTGTTCTTGTTTTTTTCAGTGTCCATGTTAACAGATTAGAGCAGCCACACTGCCTGTGTAAGCACGTCTGTGTTGTGGAACCTCTTGGTTTTTTCTTTCTTTGATGCCTGTGTTAACAGATTAGAGCAGCCACACTGCCCACATAAGCACGTCTGTGTCGTGGAACCTCTTGGTTTTTTGTTTCTTTGATGCCCATGTTAACAGATTAGAGCAGCCACACTGCCCGCATGAGCACGTCTGTGTTGTGGAACCTCTTTGTTTTTTGTTTTATCGATGCCAGAGATTAACAGATTAGAACAGCCACACTGCCCACATGAGCACGTCTGTGTCGTGGAACCTCTTGGTATTTTTGTTTTTCGGTGTCTACGTTAACAGATTAGAGCAACCACACTGCCCGCATGAGCACGTCTGTGTCGTGATACCTCTTCGTTTTTTGTTTATTTCAGTACCCATGTGAACAGATTAGAGCAGCCACACTGCCCGCATGAGCATGTCTGTGTTGTGGAACCTCTTGGTATTTTTGTTTTTCGGTGTCTAAATTAACAGATTAGAGCAACCACACTGCCCGCATGAGCACGTCTGTGTTGTGGAGCCTCTTTGTTTCTTGTTTTATCGATGCCAGAGATTAACAGATAACAGCAGCCACACTGCCTGTGTAAGCACGTCTGTGTTGTGGAACCTCTTGGTTTTTTGTTTCTTTGATGCCCATGTTAACAGATTAGAGCAGCCACACTGCCTGCATGAGCACGTCTGTGTCGTGGAACCTCTTTGTTTTTTGTTTTTTTCAGTACCCATGTTAACAGATTAGAGCAGCCACACTGCCCGCATGAGCACGTCTGTGTTGTGGAACCTCTTAGTTTTTTGTTTTATCGATGCCAGAGATTAACAGATTAGAGCAACCACACTGCCTGTGTAAGCACGTCTGTGTCGTGGAACCTCTTGGTTTTTTGTTTCTTTGATGCCCATGTGAACAGATTAGAGCAGCCACACTGCACACATGAGCACGTCTGTGTTGTGGAACCTCTTTGTTTTTTGTCTTTTTCAGTACCCATGTGAATAGATTAGAGCAGCCACACTGCCTGTGTAAGCACGTCTTTGTCATGGAACCTCTTGGTTTTTTGTTTCTTTGATGTTAACAGATTAGAGCAGCCACACTATCCACATGAGCACGTCGGTGTCGTGGAACCTCTTGGTTCTTTGGTTTTTGATGTCCATGTTAACAGATTAGAGAAACTACACTGCCCCCATGAGCATATCTGTGTCATGGGACCTTGTGCTTTTTTTTGTTGCTTTTTTTTCTTTGGTGCCCATGTCAACAGATTAAAGCAGCTACAGTGCCTGTGTGAGCAGCCAGTCTGTGTCATGGATCCCCTTGTTTTTTTGGTTTTATTTTGTTTTTTCAGTGCCAG